ATGATCAGTGGAGCAGTGTCGTGTGTAAGTAAGGTCCAGTTGGTTGCCTGATTTGTGAGTAGCCGTAGTTAATAGTCGCTTGAGATCAAAGGAAGCAAGCAGAGTGTGGAAGTCTGCAGCCTGAGGTTTATCTAGGTGGATGTTGAAGTCTCCAAGCATAACTAGGGGAGTACCATCCTCAGGAAAGTTTGAGAGCAGCACATCTAATTCTTCCACGAAGATACCTAGTGGTCCTGGGGGTCGATAAACAACTATTAAATGGATTTTAAGAGGGTGGGTAATAGTGGCTGAATGTGATTCAAAAGGAGCTGTTGATACTCAGAGATGGTAAAGGATTAAATTTCCAATCATTAGAGATAAGCAGACCAGTACCTCCACATCTTCCAATCAGACGGGGAGTGTGGGAAAAGATAAATTATTGGAGAGTGCCGCAGGTGTAGCATTGTCCTCTGGTTTGATCCACGTCTCTGTCAGGGCCATGAGGTTTAGTCTTGAATTACTTGTAATAGAAGTAATAAAATCTGCTTTGTTTACAGCAGACTGGCAATTCCAAAGACCAATAGAAAGAGAAAGTAGTGTATTAGGAGACATAGGCAAAGTGCGCAGGCTGTTAGGATTGCGCTGCCTACAGTGGGCGATGCATGGGTTGCGAGTGGTAGTGATAGTAGGGATCTGGAATCACATAGTAAGAATTGGTTATAAAAACTGAAAACAGAAGGGAAACAAGTAGTAGGAAAGAGAATGATTCAAAAGCAATACTTATGGCCCTTGCCAGTGTCCCTGCTCGGTGGAGTCGAACGGTAGAGTCGATGGTCTTTACACTCTTCGGTCTTCACACGAGAACTGCCGTGGTATACTAAGCTTTTTATATTCGTCTAAATCTGCTTTGTTTACAGCAGACTGGCAATTCCAAAGACCAATAGAAAGAGAAAGTAGTGTATTAGGAGACATAGGCAAAGTGCGCAGGCTGTTAGGATTGCGCTGCCTACAGTGGGCGATGCATGGGTTGCGAGTGGTAGTGATAGTAGGGATCTGGAATCACATAGTAAGAATTGGTTATAAAAACTGAAAACAGAAGGGAAACAAGTAGTAGGAAAGAGAATGATTCAAAAGCAATACTTATGGCCCTTGCCAGTGTCCCTGCTCGGTGGAGTCGAACGGTAGAGTCGATGGTCTTTACACTCTTCGGTCTTCACACGAGAAAAGCTTCACACGAGGGCTGCCACGGTATACTAAGCTTTTTATATTCATCTAACAAAACTTAAATTTAATTCAGCTGGCACACTTTCCTGTTTATCACAACAAATGGCCAGGCAAATTGCACGACACTGACAAGGTACGCGATACAGTACGAGACCAAGGGGAAGTCATGGCCTAATGGTTAGAGAGTCGGACTCGTAACCCAAAGCTTACGGCATAATAAAGGCATGGATTGTAGGTGGGGGGAGTGAATGTACCACACCTCTCCCACCTTCAATACCATGACTGAGGTGCCCTTGAGCAAGGCACCGAACCCCCAACTGCAAAAAAATGTGGGTGTGTGTTCAAGGTGTGTGTGGGTACTTTGGATGGGATAAATGCAGAGCACTAATTCCGAGTATGGGTCACCACATGTCACATGTCACTTCACTCACTCAAACACGATTTCAGCACGTCTCCACACAGTAAACAAAACAAGCGTTTCCTAGCAACGACAACTGCGCTAAACACTGAGACAAGAAATAAAAACTTCTGCTGATTGACTGCTTCTCTTAAAAGACTATTTCTTTACACTGTGTTTTGCTGGCGCTTGAACACACTTTCCTGTTTATCACAACAAATGGCCAAGCAAAAGCACACGACACTGACAAGGTATGCGATACAGTACGACACCAAACGCGATATCTCAAAAAACATATTGCATTGTCCAGTTTTCTCTCGGAATGATGATCTGAGTTATTATTGCAATTCTCGATGTGTGTTTGTGTGTTGTTGTGTGTGTGTGTGTGTGTGTGTGTGTGTGTGTGTGTGTGTGTGTGTGTGTGTGTGTGCGTGTGTGTGTGTGTGTGTGTGTCTGTGTGTGTGTGTGTGTGTGTGTGTGTGTGTGTGAGTGTGTGTGTTGTCTGCATCACCTGGGGTCTGGAAGTTCAGTGCTACCATGCTACCATCGGCGTTCCAGAAGATCTGTGGCATATAATTACTGGAGTCCACTCGGCCTCCTTTGGGGTAGATGCGACTCATCTGCCGTTTGTTGTAGCTGCACATCTCATTCAAGGAAACTAAAACGGAAAGGTTTAGGGGAGTTCTGCACACTTTAAACTCCGCTTTATCCTGGAAGGCATCCTCATGCTGCAGGTCTACTGCTTCACACTACAAACGAGAACAGAGATGGCTGATTAAAGGATCAAAAATGGCATTTAAAAGATCCTGTAGCATTTGAAAACCAATCACACACGATTTATTATTGTGCTATTGTGCTCAGTGAGAGTCAGTTTGATTCAAGGACGTTTTGGGCCATTGCAATTACTCTACAAATTTGAATAAATTCCATTAAAACATTAGATTTCAGTAGGTAAAATGAAATAAAATAAATGTAATAAATATGTGCATATATTCTTCTATTTTCTAATAAAAATAAATTATAAAAATTCTATAAATTTAATAAATAAAGCTTACATTCACAAATAAATTATAAATATAAAAATAAAATATAAAAATAATTTAAAAACATTAGGTTTCAATATTAAATCAGTATTTATTTTGCTAATAAATATAAGATCAAAATGAGATCAAATTAATGTAATAAATATATGCATATATTTTTTATTCAATAATAAAAAATAAAACAATGCCAATTCTATAAATTTAATAAATGAAAAATAAATTCACAAATAAAAAGTAAAAATAATTTAGGATTTAGTATACAATGTCTGACATTTAATTAGCTATTAATTAATTTTATATTCACTAATAAACAATTAAATTATAAAAATACAATACATTTAATAATTAGAAAATAAATTCACAAATAAAAAAATAAAACAAAAAATAATTTACAAAACATTAAAACACTACGTTTCATTATTAAATGTCTGACATTTAATTAGCTAATAAATAAAAATCAAAACAGAATAAAATAAATGTAATATATATGCATATATTTTTATATTCACTAATAAAAAATTATCATGAAAATTCAATACATTCAATAAATAAAAAAAAAGTTCACAAATAAAAATAATGTAATAAAGTAAATGTAATAAATTAATTAATTAATTCACTAATTTAAAAAAAAATGACTATGATATTACCCTAATAGTTTATTCATACATTTTGTACACAACAGTGAATAGAAGGCATTACACTGTATCCAGCTATCCCTCTTATTTGTTGCACTCACACGCCCCCTGGGAACAGAGATGTAAACTACAGCTTTACCAGCAAAAAGTTAATAAAATATAACTAAAGTTAAAGGTGCACCAAGTAACTTTTTCCAATTTAAATGGCTTTACATCTAAAGAAATGTGTTTTAAATGACCATGCATGAGATACTCGCATGAGCAATTGTTTGATGCTACAAGGCATAGCCAGTCACAAGGTCAGCTAAATACATTATCGCTGTTATATGGGACACTTTTAGTGCAGAATCAATTATTAATAAGTGCCAGGCAGGTATTTCTACAATAGTTACCCAACTCTTTTGCTCGATGTTGCATCCTTTTAGTCCAGGACCACTTTTATAAGATAAATACTTTGTGCAGGTTTAAATGAGAACCATAAATTCAACATTTAGCTTTCAAGGGGCAGAAAGTGTATGAGACAGGAGTCAGCATGCAAAACAAAGGATACTTCACGAATTCAATGGCGTTTGTCCTTAAATATCCCAAACCGACAGACTCGTTGAAGGAAGACATGTTGGGGTGGATATTTTTTTCTGTGGACAAACAGACAAGATGTGGACATTAAAGATTAAAAACATACATCTCACTACTGGAAAAAAAAAAGACTGAATGTGAAACTAACGCAATACTCTAAAATATAGTGTAGAAACAATACAATAATGATAAAAATGATAATGAAAAAAAACAAAAAATTACAAAAAAATAAACTAAAATTAAAACTAAATTTTAAAATATGAAACAAAAGACAATTTTTTTTAAATTAACTAAAATTAAAATTAAAATCTAAAATAGTACTATTAAAAAAAGACAAAAGTACATATAATTACAAAAAATACAATTAAAATGAAAACTGAAAATAGTAAATTTACAAACTGAAATGTTAAAATCACATAATAAAAATGACAAAAAAATTAACAAAAATTTTGAATTAAACCTAAAAAGAACTAATGAAATGACAAAAGCATAAAACAAAATTATTGAAAAATAAACAAAAATTGTAATAAAAACAGGAACTAGTAATATTTTAAAAACTATAATATTATAAAATGACAAAATCCATAAAAATACTAAAATAAACTAAAATTAATAAAAGGACAGAAGCACATAATAAAATGACAAAAAAAACCCGCAAATTAAAATGATAGTAATATAAAAAAACTAAAAGTGACAAAAGCACATAACAAAATCACTAAAAATTAAACTAAAATGGAAAATTGTTGTTTAAAAAAATAAGAAAATGACAAAGGCATATAACAAAATTACTAAAATTAAAAAAATAAAAAAATTAAAAACTATACTAAAATTAAAATAAAAAATTATATATATATATATATATATATATATATATATATAAACCAACTCTACATTTTCCAAATATTCATAATTGAAAAGACTCATAAATACTATAATACTACAGAAATAATGGTAACACTTTACAATAAGGTTCATTAGTTAACTACATTAGTTAACATGAACTAATAATGAACTGCACTTATACAGCGTTTATTAATCTTTGTTAATGTTAATTTCAACATTTACTAACGCATTATTAATATCTTGTTAACATTAGTTAATGCACTGTGAACTAACATGAACTAACAATGAACATCTGTATTTTTATTAACTAACGTGAGCGTAGATTAGTAAATACAGTAACAAATGTATTGCTCATGGTTAGTTCATGTTAGTTTATACATTAACTAATGTTTAACTAATGAACCTTATTGTAAAGTGTTACCGAAATAATCCTAAAAATAATACTGATGTTAACGTACGTTTGTACAGCATGTTTCAGGCCTAAATATTGTCTTTTTAGTGCAAATGTACTTGCCTTCGGCTTCATCAAAGCTGGTGAACTTGACGGCCTGGGCGTAGTTGACGATATTGGACAGATACGGGTGGATGTTAGTAGTGGCCGCCACATACGTGTACGACTGAATCAGTGCTTGTTCATCAGCCACATTCGTTTCACCAGCCTGTGAAAATATAGCAGTCAAACCATTACAACAATAGAAATATTAAGGAAATGTGCTGTGTTTGTCCGAGCAGATCTCACCAGCTCAAAAGTGTTTGTTCAAATCTCTAACTCTGAGTTTGTTCTTTACACTGTGTTTTGCTGGCGCTTGAACACACTTTCCTGTTTATCACAACAAATGGCCAGATGTGTGTGTGTGTGAGTGTGTGTGTGTGAGTGTGTGCGAGTGTGTGTGTGTGAGTGTGTGTGTGCGGGGGTGTGTGTGTGTGTGTGTGTGTGTGTGTGTGTGAGTGTGTGTGTTGTCTGCATCACCTGGGGTCTGGAAGTTCAGTGCTACCATCTGGCAGCCGGCGTTCCAGAAGATCTGTGGCATATAATTACTGGAGTCCACTCGGCCTCCTTTGGGGTAGATGCGACTCATCTGCCGTTTGTTGTAGCTGCACATCTCATTCAAGGAAACTAAAACGGAAAGGTTTAGGGGAGTTCTGCACACTTTAAACTCCGCTTTATCCTGGAAGGCATCCTCATGCTGCAGGTCTACTGCTTCACACTACAAACGAGAACAGAGATGTGACGGATCTCTCATTAGAAACTCCAGACCTCAGTCAGTCAGTCTCATGTGCTTCAGAAGATTTCATCTTAGTTAGAAGGAACCGGCACACACACACACACACACACTATGACTTCATGCATCCGCTGGAAATCACTGAAACGCCAGCTGATTAAAAGACGCTGGGATCAAAAATGGCATTTAAAAGATCCTGTAGCATTTGAAAACCAATCACACACGATTTATTATTGTGCTCTTAAATGCAGTGAGAGTCAGTTTGATTCAAGGACGTTTTGGGCCATTGCAATTACTCTACAAATTTGAATAAATTCCATTAAAACATTAGATTTCAGTAGGTAAAATGAAATAAAATAAATGTAATAAATATGTGCATATATTCTTCTATTTTCTAATAAAAATAAATTATAAAAATTCTATAAATTTAATAAATAAAGCTTACATTCACAAATAAATTATAAATATAAAAATAAAATATAAAAATAATTTAAAAACATTAGGTTTCAATATTAAATCAGTATTTATTTTGCTAATAAATATAAGATCAAAATGAGATCAAATTAATGTAATAAATATATGCATATATTTTTTATTCAATAATAAAAAATAAAACAATGCCAATTCTATAAATTTAATAAATGAAAAATAAATTCACAAATAAAAAGTAAAAATAATTTAGGATTTAGTATACAATGTCTGACATTTAATTAGCTATTAATTAATTTTATATTCACTAATAAACAATTAAATTATAAAAATACAATACATTTAATAATTAGAAAATAAATTCACAAATAAAAAAATAAAACAAAAAATAATTTACAAAACATTAAAACACTACGTTTCATTATTAAATGTCTGACATTTAATTAGCTAATAAATAAAAATCAAAACAGAATAAAATAAATGTAATATATATGCATATATTTTTATATTCACTAATAAAAAATTATCATGAAAATTCAATACATTCAATAAATAAAAAAAAAGTTCACAAATAAAAATAATGTAATAAAGTAAATGTAATAAATTAATTAATTAATTCACTAATTTAAAAAAAAATGACTATGATATTACCCTAATAGTTTATTCATACATTTTGTACACAACAGTGAATAGAAGGCATTACACTGTATCCAGCTATCCCTCTTATTTGTTGCACTCACACGCCCCCTGGGAACAGAGATGTAAACTACAGCTTTACCAGCAAAAAGTTAATAAAATATAACTAAAGTTAAAGGTGCACCAAGTAACTTTTTCCAATTTAAATGGCTTTACATCTAAAGAAATGTGTTTTAAATGACCATGCATGAGATACTCGCATGAGCAATTGTTTGATGCTACAAGGCATAGCCAGTCACAAGGTCAGCTAAATACATTATCGCTGTTATATGGGACACTTTTAGTGCAGAATCAATTATTAATAAGTGCCAGGCAGGTATTTCTACAATAGTTACCCAACTCTTTTGCTCGATGTTGCATCCTTTTAGTCCAGGACCACTTTTATAAGATAAATACTTTGTGCAGGTTTAAATGAGAACCATAAATTCAACATTTAGCTTTCAAGGGGCAGAAAGTGTATGAGACAGGAGTCAGCATGCAAAACAAAGGATACTTCACGAATTCAATGGCGTTTGTCCTTAAATATCCCAAACCGACAGACTCGTTGAAGGAAGACATGTTGGGGTGGATATTTTTTTCTGTGGACAAACAGACAAGATGTGGACATTAAAGATTAAAAACATACATCTCACTACTGGAAAAAAAAAAGACTGAATGTGAAACTAACGCAATACTCTAAATATATATATATATATATATATATATATATATATATAAACCAACTCTACATTTTCCAAATATTCATAATTGAAAAGACTCATAAATACTATAATACTACAGAAATAATGGTAACACTTTACAATAAGGTTCATTAGTTAACTACATTAGTTAACATGAACTAATAATGAACTGCACTTATACAGCGTTTATTAATCTTTGTTAATGTTAATTTCAACATTTACTAACGCATTATTAATATCTTGTTAACATTAGTTAATGCACTGTGAACTAACATGAACTAACAATGAACATCTGTATTTTTATTAACTAACGTGAGCGTAGATTAGTAAATACAGTAACAAATGTATTGTTCATGGTTAGTTCATGTTAGTTAATACATTAACTAATGTTTAACTAATGAACCTTATTGTAAAGTGTTACCGAAATAATACTAAAAATAATACTGATGTTAACGTACGTTTGTACAGCATGTTTCAGGCCTAAATATTGTCTTTTTAGTGCAAATGTACTTGCCTTCGGCTTCATCAAAGCTGGTGAACTTGACGGCCTGGGCGTAGTTGACGATATTGGACAGATACGGGTGGATGTTAGTAGTGGCCGCCACATACGTGTACGACTGAATCAGTGCTTGTTCATCAGCCACATTCGTTTCACCAGCCTGTGAAAATATAGCAGTCAAACCATTACAACAATAGAAATATTAAGGAAATGTGCTGTGTTTGTCCGAGCAGATCTCACCAGCTCAAAAGTGTTTGTTCAAATCTCTAACTCTGAGTTTGCTTTGCTAACAAGCTCCAGTTCTCAACAGTTTCTTAATGCACGGCGATGACAGCGAGATTCCCGTCATCAGAAGGAAAGAGACAGTAATGGGTAAATCTGGCAGAAATATAAAAGCTTCTTCAGCCCATTATCATGATAAAAGGCTTCGAGTGAAGTCTGTGTTCATTCATGACACTCCTCTCCAAATAACAAAAACTCACGATTGTCTCTACTTCTCCTCTGATCTTTGAAGAAGAACAAACTGTCAGAAGTTACTTTAATAAAGCAAACCGGGGCCAGTTTTCAAATATAGAAATTATCACTTCTTTAAAAGATAAAAGCAACAGTTCACACACACAACTTAATTTCTTCTGTGAAGAACAATTTTTTTTTTTAACTAAAACCATAAAAATATTTTTGTAACCTAAAAATAAAATACATAAAAAAAACCGATATAAAAATATACAAAAAACATAAAAAAAAGCTAGTCGACCACATTTCTAATTTTCATTTATATGCATCTTTAATATGTATTTCATTTATATATATTAATATAAAATAACTATAAATAAAACAAAAAAGTTCTTAAAACTATATAAATATAAAAAAACTAATAAAAATGACAGAAATGCAAGAAAATTGCTAACTCTTTCAAATTAAAATTAAAAATGTAAAAATAAGAGATTAAAAATTGCAATAAAAATTAAAATATTTATAAAAAGTGAGTGAATGTATTTTTTAAAAAAAAGTAAAAATTCAAAATATTAATTAAAACTATAATGGTATATCAGTGATATTATAATAATATTTAATAATAATAGATAAATCAGCATAAAAGCAAATACATGCAGTGGAAGCCACTTTTAAGATACTTTTATTATGTTTTTGACGTCACTATGAAGTGTCTTTGTAACTAAAAACAATTAAACTCAAAAGAAATATTAATAAAGGTTAAATAAAATACTTATAAAAAAAAAAGGTTATACTACAGAAAGACAAAAACACAAGAACAAAATTACTGAAACTTTAACATTAAAAACGGAAAATATGTATAAAAAAATCTAAATATTAATAAAAGCTATAATATAACACTGATAAAAGCAAGTAATTATAGTGCAAACCATTTTAGGATCACAATATTAATACAAACTATAACAGTATATCAATGATAGTATAATACCACTGATAAAAGCACCATAAATGCTTCACTATAAACTACAGCGTACAGTATGTGCTTGTATTTTAATATAATCTGCCACTGCACGGAAAAGAAACAAACAGCAGACTTGTTTGGAGTCACATGAGGGTGAATAAAGTGAATTTTGATTTCTGGGTGAATTATGGCTGTAATGGTGATTATGTAAGGATGCTGTAAGGACCTTTCTGGGTCGGAGCGCCTCTTCCTCACGATTCTCTTCCTCAGTGATCAGACATCCGTGAATCCGCTCGGGATGAGCTTCGTTCAGCAGCTCTGCTACGGATTCAAATATACATTTCATTACTGAGAAAAAAAGACTACATGTGACCCTGGACCACAAAACCAGTCATAAGGGTCCATTTGAATTTGACCCTTTTTGAAATTGAGATTTATACATCATAATAAATATGCTCTCCATTGATGTATGGTTTGTTAGGATCGGACAATATTTGGCCGAGATACAACTATTTGAAAATCTGGAATCTGAGGGTGCAAAAAAATCAAAATATTGAGAAAATCATCTTTAAAGTTGTCCAAATGAAGTTCTTAGCAATGCATGTTACTAATCAAAAATTAAGTTTTGATATATTTACAGTAGGACATTAATAAATATCTTCATGGAACAATGTATTGTTGGCTATTGCTACAAATATACCCCAGCGACTCAACACTGCTTTTGTGCTCCAGGGTCACTTATGTGAAACTAATACAATACTTTCAAATATAGAGTAGAAACGATACACAAGACAATATATGATTGAAAACAAATGCAAATGTTAGCCAATCATAATGGAACTCATTTGCATACAGCAGCAAAATGATCCTGTTCAACTGATCCGAGACTGTTATTTTAATATTATAAATACTGCTACAATATTAATTCATATAATTAATTCTTTTTAGATTTTTTTGTTATCATTTTAGTTTAATTTTTAATTTTAGTTGACGTTTTAGTAATTATGTTGCTGTGTTTTTGTATTTTTTATTTTCAGTTATAGTATTTTTATATTTTCAGTTATTTTAATTTTAGTTTACGCTTTGGTACATTTTTATGTGCTTTTGCCATTTTTTTTATAAGTTTTCATTAATATTTATATTTAGCTTTATTTAATTTTTTATTTCAGTTTTGGTTTGAGTAAGTTTAGTACTAAAACTTATTTTATTTCAGTTAGGTTAAATTTTACATTTTCGTGAAGGTTTTTCAGTGTAATTGTTTTTTAAGTGTTTTTAATGTAATTTGTTTTATTTCCGCTTTATTTCAGTTGACAGATTTGTTTAGTTTTTTCATAGTTTCAGTTAATGACAACAACACAGAGACTGGGAAATTACCATGCATATCTAAATTATGACTAATGTACAGAATAGGTGCTTTTACAGCCTGTAACTGGAAGCATTTTAATAGTTTCATGCATAAAGCATTATATGTAAACAGATTATGGGAATGCATTAATTGAAAAATGAATAGCCTGAATGCAATGTAAGACGCTTTGGATAAAGCCATCTTTTGTTCTTAGTATGCAAGGAAACAGATTAGACCTCTAGTTTTAAATACGGTGCAAAAATGTATTGCAACCAAGCAAATAATGAACAGATGTGCTTTGCATTTTAATGACTCTTGCTCACCGGTGGATGTCTCCTCCTCATTCTCATCTTCAGACATGTTTGTGGAGATGCTCGGCTCTCCGGCCTCCATGTGCTTCCTGAAGTGCTCCAGCTGTTCTGTTTGAAAAAGCGTATTAACATACATCACTTTCTATGAGTTTTAGGACCTTGAGAATTACGTTTCGTGACATACTAACAATGAAACTACTTCACAAAAACAAATATTTACTATGGTTAATTCCAAAATACCATAGTTACTTCATGTATTACTTCAGTGACCAGAACATCATATCAGACCAGAACATGAGGATGTGATATTAATTAATTATTTATTTTATTTGCATCTGGTAGAAATAACTGTGGTAAAGATATCACTACTTTTTTCAACTTCAGGTTTTAATCTTCTGTTCGGCAACATCTTATAATATTCGGTAACACTTTACGATAGTGGCAACTGATAAGGCATTCACATATTTTTTGCAGATTAATAGACGTATAATCACATTTGACAATTTATGAATCAAAGTTGATGTATTTCTTATGATTTAAAAAGTGCATCAACAAATGACGTTGTTATAATGCAATAATGCTTGTTTTTAAAGAAAGTTATTTCATGAAATGTTACCCATTTAAAAATACCCCCAAATACATAAATCAATAAATATGGTAACACTTTATAGTATCTGCAGGTTAACTGATCAAGTATTTATACACTGTGTTCCATATTAATAGATGCACAATCACATTTGAAAATCAAATGTATGAATCAAAGTTGATGAATGGTATTTCTCATCATTTAGAAAGTTATTAAATTAAATGAAAATGTAACTCATTTAAAAATACCCCCATAAATAAATAAATATTTGGCAACGCTTTATAATGTATGCAGGCTAATTGATAGGTTATTTTTAAATAATATATCCTGTTTTCAATGTAGATGTACAATCACATTTGAAAATGAATGAATGAAACTTCATGAAAGGTATTTCTCCATGTAAAAACAGATAATCTCATAATAATCCAATAAAATGTTTTTAAGAAAGTTATTAATAAACATTAAGTAATGCAGATTAAAAAAAAAACATAATAGAGAATAAATTAATTAAAATTGTTACTAGAAATGTAACGGATGACTTTTTTGCAGTAATGTGAATGCTATCAGGCTGATATTCTACATCTGCACGCACCTGCAGCCGGTCAGCAGCACCTGTCTGTACATCTCCACTGATGACTTCCCTCCAAACTGTCTGCCGGTCAGGTACGTGTTGTGAGACGAGTTGATGAAGTAGTGAGACAGCGGATGATCCATCTCCTGATAAACCTCCAGGCGGTCCAGAAACACAGGAGCGTTTTCATCAGACATCAGATACCGGCAGAACCCGTCACATGACATCAGACCTGCACAAAGCCGTCCATCCATTCATTACTCATGCATTTATTAATGAGATGTTCAAGAGAGTCCTTTCATTTATCTAAATCTGTCTGTTGAAATCAACATTAGTTGCTGTACTTCTACACTAGGTGGCGTTCCAAGATTACAAAAGTGTATTTACATAATAAGATACGAATGTGACTTTAAGGCATGAGCAATGCGAACTATGAATAAGCATTTAAACCAAAACAGTAATTTTTAATTTTACTGTCCAGTAAAACTAGACAACATAAGATAATAAAATAAACACCTAAGGGTGGTCTACATATAATTAAACAACTGCTTGCCATATAAATAAATAAAGTTATTTTACTATGTGAAAATATGCTGTAGGAAACTGTTTGAACATGGAACAACGGTCAATTATACAGTACATTACATATTTTGTTTTGTTAATATATATATATATATATATACACACACACAGTTTATGATTTTATATATACACTAGTGCTGTCAAACGATTAATCGCATGCAAAATAAAAGTTTTTGTTTACATAATATATGGGTGTGTACTGTGTATATTATGTATTTGCACACACACACACACACACACGTATATATTTAAGATGAATATGTTATGTTTATATATTAAATATATTTATATATAATATAAATTATATAATTATATTATGTGCATGTAAATCCATGTAAATATTTTCAAAATAAAAATTGTATGTGTGTCTTTATATATACATAAGAAATATACACGGTACACACTAGGCCTGGGCGATAAAATGGTATCGATATTTATCGACGGTACACCTTCTTCGATAACGATTGAAAAAATTTTCGATATGGTGCTCGATGTAGGCACGTGCTATGAGTGACGCAGACAGCACACACAAACACGAACACGTGCTGTGCCTGCCTGTGATGAGGAGATTGTGAATAAAGAAGTATTCCAGAGAGCTGGGTAATAATGGGTAATAAATAAGAGTAATAAAAGACAAAACAAATACATTAGACACCATTCGAAGTATAAATAGTCACATATAAACACAATAACGTGTCACACACCTCTCCTCTTCAGTTTGTCATCAGGTTCATATCTCTGTATGATTTGGAAAGCACATTTAGAGTCGAAGAACGGGAAGAGTATTTCATTCAGACG